TTACTAGAGCTTTGATATTTGGTCCACACGTACATTTAGCTGCCACATTTATGCCTCAAAAATTTCATTAAGATCGTACAACTAGAAGCCTAGTTCAATCAGTCCACTGCTCAAATTGGATAGCTGCGAAGAGAGCAAGCGTAGCAGCTGCATGTGCTTAATGTGTGTGTGCGCATGTGTTTCGTTATACAGCTGTAAGCATAGTAGCAGCTGGACTAAAGTAAAGTGAAAGTAGATTCAGGGTGTCTACTATTCGGGCATAGCCTAGACTGTCGCACTCTAACTTGTTTATAGACTACTTTGTTTCCTTTTCGTTTCTATTTTTGTGTATTTGCTGGTTGTTCTTTGTCTTTGCATCCTTTATTCGCTACAAATTTACAAATGCTTTGCAGCGTCTACAATAAACAACAGCAAAAATGTGAATGCATAAACACAAATGCAAACGCCCTTTACACGAATATTTCAAATACTCACACACACACACACACATATATATATATATATATATGTATATATATCCCTTGAAATATGCAGCATTGAACAAAAATATTGCACAGCATTTTATACAATTTTGAATCGGTTCAAAGGCAATGGCAAAAATATTCCCAAAGCATTTTCCTAGTTTTTCTATTCATTTATGCATTCCATTTGCTGAATATTTCTAACTTCTTTTGTTATTGCTTATGCTGAGCTGATATATGTTTTATTGTCGCACTGAGTCACTAACTGATTGGCAGATAAGTGTAATCGTTGGCCACATTCCTCACAGTTCTCGAGCATTTTCACACACTGAGTGGAAAAACGGAATTGTAAAAGTTCATTATTAACCTTCAATCAAATGCTTATGATATGATTGGAGTGTGGCAATGGGCGATGGAAGAGGCCGAAAGAGATGTCCGAGTTGATCTAGTCACAGCTGTAAGTCCGTCTACATGTCCATCTCTACATCCGTCTGTCTGTGCGCCTGCCTTTATGATCTTTTGTCAATTAGTTTGTATTTTCATCTGGTTGCCTATGTCCATCTATACGCCTGCTTAGCCGTCTATGGTCTGTCCATCTAATAATGTGTCCATCTCTCTGTCTGAATGTCCGTTTTTCTGCATATCCTGCCTTCCGTCCGTCCCTCTCTTCGTCTGTTTGTATGATCTTCTGTCAATTTATCTGCTGTCTGTAGACTGTTTACCTACTTCCCTCTGTCCGTCTATTTGTCTGTTCATCTGTCTGACTGTCCATCTCTGACTGTCCGTCTGGTCTGCTCTTCTGTCCATCTGTTTATACCTCCTTCCGTCTGTATGTTCGCTTTGCTGTCTATCCGCCTGTTCTCTGTATGCACTGATTGCATTTGCTCATTAAAGTGCGGGTATCACCCAGTCAGGCATTGACGACTGGAAGCATGTTTACTTATATTTCATTTTAAATTATATCGCTTAAATAGGCCTCCAGCTCAAGCGTCTGTCTGCCATGGCCCAATGCGCCCAAGTCAAGCGGGCTAGGGATTAATTTTTAATTTTTAATTAAATTTCAGTTTATTATTGTTAGTTAAACATGGCTAAGGTTCAATATTGGATTGTTTGGTATTCATAAAAAATGCATTAATAGAATTTCTGCTAAAAATGTGATTCGTTCAGAGCAAAAATTTATTTAATTAAATATTTAAATATATATTTTTTAAATAGTTTTTCATGGCAGCTGAAGCTGAAATGGAAGGGAAGGGAAGGCACGAGAAGGTAAGAGAAGCAGTTGGGATGGGAAGGTGAAGGAAAGGATCTCTACAATATGGTAGCTTGTTCCATTAGGGCTTGAAGATGTCTTCTTAGTTTTGTTGAGCCATGAATCAAGTTTAAAGCTTGACCTGAGTTGCATAATTTTTTGGCAAATTTTTTGCGTTTACTTCCATTAAATTGCACAACCAGACGATAGAAAGAAATCATGTAATTGTAATTGAAATGAAGTAAGCGTAAATTGCGATAAAAAAAGAAAAACAAAAAATAAAAGTCAGCTTGGAGCTAAAAGCAAAAGAAATGAGAGAGGCCAGTGGCAAGAAAGAGAAATATCTTGGGCAGTCAGCGAGGTTACCGAAATGTTTGTTTCCTTTCAAATCAGTACACTTCCTTTTTAGCCCGCTTACCTTCGCCTTCGCCTTCGCCTTCGCTGGCTGAAGTGGCGCTGGCGCTGAGGCTGGGGCAAAGAAAATAAGTGGAAATCACTTGAAAATACTAACGAGCTGTTACGCTTGGCAAGTAAAATATAATCAGCAGCATCATGTCTGCAGGTGCACTTAAAAGGCGTTCACTTTTTTTTTATGGCCGCGCCCCTTCTCTCTGCGGCCCATAAACTGAACAATGGCCAAACGACCAAAAAAAGAAGAAGTAAAAAACAATCGTAAAACAATTAAAATTAACCTTTTTTTGGACATTTGCACAAAGTAAATGCAAATCAGTTGCAAGCGAGCTTAGACAATGAAAATTAACATTTTACAATGTTTCAGCAGCAATTTTTGTGGCTCACAGCAGTCAGCTTTAGTCAGCTGCAGCAGCCAGCTTTTTGTCAGCCTGCAGCAGCGGCACTTCCAGTGTGCTGATTGACCAAACAAGAGTGATACTATTTTCGATAACAATAAATCGACTGCTGTTTGAGTTATCGGTAACATTCGTTAAGTTAAGTATTTGATGAGATATGCCATTTAAGCGTGAAGCATCTTTCATGGAAATAGTGTACAAAAATATGTATTTGATTGAGAAATTAATTGTGTCTTTATAGCGCAGGCAGTGCACTGCACAATTGCAAAGCTTGAGCATGCATGAAATTTCCTGAGTCTTGAACCAATAATACAGCTAGAGATTGGCATGAATTTGATAAGAAAGTAACCAACTAAACCCTGAAAATTGATTTGCGCTGATTAACTGCACTGCAAAGGGACAGAGTTTCAATATATTGAGCTGAGCTATGCAAACTTTCAGTTGAATAATGCGGTATATTATATAAAATGGCAGGCAAGTCGCTTAAAAATATAATAAGATATAATTAAATATCTCAATTGAATTTTGTTTAATTTTAATTTGTTTTTCTATTACTTTTAGTTAGTCAAACGAGTCTATCTTTTCATCTAAATGCCTGCCTTTAAGCCAGCCACGGCTCGCCTGTGCGTTGCCAGCAGGCAGCTTTTGTCAGGCGCAGCAGTCAGCTTTTGTCAGGCAGCATTCCACTGAACTCCAATTGGAGTCGCTCGTTCACTCGCCAAACAACTTTTGCGCTGAGCTCAGCTGTCTGCTGCCTGCTGTCTGCTGTTGGCTTGGCTTTAGCACATGATGACAACGATGACGACTTTGAACGAGTGCAAGTTTGTTTTGATTATGAAGGCCACGTTGAGGCAGTCTGAGCAGTCGGGCAAATCGTGATCGTGGCAAGAGTGCAATGCTGTCTGCAGCAGTTCGCTATTAAAAATTGGCGCGTGCCGCCTGCAGTTTTTCCTACCATTCGCCTGCCGTGGCAAATGGAAAATGACTTTGAACTCTATTGTTTGTCGAGTGCGATTGTCGTTTTGTTATGTCTTAGCCGGTTTTTGGTAGCTTTGAATTGATCGCGTAACTTAATTCATAAATGTCCAGAGCAAGAGAGAGAGACAGAGACAGAGAAATGGGCGCGAAATTGGAAATAGCAATATCAAATGCTATGCCATTACAGCTTTCCTTGTAGGCCCAGTGGGAGCGAGCGAACGGGAGGTCAACAAATGAAAGACACTCACTTTGGCTCACCTGGCACCGTCTCGCCTCGGCCGCCTTCTGCAAGCAACGACTGCGCTGAGATTGCAGATTGTGTAATAGGAAAAGCATCGGCGGCCGTTGTCCTAGTGGCGGCAATCTGCAGTATAAAAACGCGCACCACATTCAAGCTGCAGACATTTCCATTGTAGCCGTGCAGCAAACGAGGTCTGCTGTCCAGTAACCGGAGGACAACTGCCAGCCTAAGCCTAAATCCAAGCCAAATGGCCAACATTATTAAGGTGAGTCCGCGAAGAGAGTGAAGCACCCAGCAGAACCAAGTAGTAAGTGGCAACAGCCGAGTGGCCAGTGGCGAGTGGCAAGAGGCAAGTGGCAAGTGGCAAGTGCTTTATATTGTGAACAATAATTGTTAATCTCTTGGTGCTTATTAAGAATGCATTAGTGAAAGCAATGCGGTGCGCGTCCTAAGTCAAAGCTTTTTGCTATAAAAATAGCGCAATTTTCTAGCACTTTGCTTGAAAAGAGTTTTGCCTTTTTATACCCTGTAAACATTGACAATGGAAACAGGGTATATTGGTTTGATGCAACAATTGGTAGAAGGCAGTGCTTATAGAGTATATATATATATATCTCCCCCCGTTCGTCTGTCTATTTTCATGTTCGCCCGCCTAACTGTTTATATCTCGAGAACTACACAAGTTAGAGACTTGAAATTTGACATATATACTCTTGGCTACCTGAGGGAGTTTAAGTTTATTAGTTTCTTTCGATAACTTATTACGTTTCTTAGTTATCGATAAATATCGATGTTTCATATTGGTTTTTGAAGCATAACTTGGAGACTATTGTAGCTAGAGGCACTAAAATTGATATGTGAGTTCTTGAGTTCTTGAGTTCGTGAGTTCAGATTACAAAATATCTATTTTTAGATAATTTTGTTATTCTGTTTAAATTTGATAGAATGAAATCTTATTTCAAATAATAGACTCTTGAATTTTTTTCTTGAACTTATCATTTAAAGAGTATATTCATGCTCTGCAAATTTTGTTAAGATCGTACTAACAGAAGCCAAGTTAAATCCGTCTATTTCCCATAGAGTGGAGCTGTTAAGACAGCTGCACTGCATAAGTAAGTATGCACATGGCTAGGTCTTCATGTATGTATACCAAGCCGCAATATTGATAATGCGCGGTATCTGCTAGTCGGGCACGTTCGACTTAAACCATTTTACTTGCTAAAATAATTTTCATGGACTTAAGCTAAGCCCCTGTTCCGCAGATGCCGCTCTTTGTGGTCGTTGCAATTGTGTGGATTGCCGTGCCGCCGACCACAGTGACAGCGTCGACGAAAGCTTCATCAATGCCAGCTGGAGCCCAGACAACGTTGTACGGCAGTTATGGCGAGAGCATGGCGCGGGAGCACGATAATCGTTGGCTGCCAACGGGGGAGAAGGAGGCGATGTCGTCCATGTTGCAGCGCTACGGCTTGCGGTACGATGCGGCAGAGGGGGAGCGACGCAGCTATAGAAGCGATTCGTCTAGTTTGGGCGGACACGGCCAGGGCGGTTTGGGAGCTGTGCTTAATGGGCTCACAAATCTCTCGGGCCTGGGACACATTAGCAACGGCTATGCCTCAGTGGCGCCCACGCACACCGAAGCCTTGGCAGCCGCCTCGTCAAAACAAGAGATACCAATTTATGAAGAGCAGCATGAGGATGCGGCCGTTGCGGCACTGGCGGCAACAGCCAGCGATTACGGCGATACAGAGGCAGGTCGAAGCGGCCAGCACTCAGCGATTTACAATTTTCCAGCTGCTGGCGCTGAGCATGCGGCTGGCTATCTGCCGGCTTTCAGTGGAGCAGAGCAGGCCGCGTGGACGCCCTCATCGGCGCCGCAATACCAGCAGACACAGGAGGCGGGCGGCAGCCATTACGCCTACGACAAAATGTCGGTGGGAAATTTTCTAAATTCTGGCTACGAAGCATTCCAGCAGCATCATGCCGAGGAGCAGCAGCATCAGCAGCAGCAGCAGCACCAGCAGCACCAGCAGCAGCAACAACTATTGGAGCACGCGTCCTATTTCACACCTCACGAGAACGAGAACGGGCCATCAGCCGGATCGGACTCAGCAGGCAGCGGACCCAGCGATTACGAGCAGCAATCAGAGGGAGATGAGCACGGCAGCAATTTCCTAGCCGAGTCAAGTGCTCACGAAGACAGTCACGGCCAGTCGCATCATCATCACCACGTGGACATCATCAACTATGTGCCCGTGAAGCACGTCAAGACACAGCATGTGCCCGTCGAGAAGCCTGTCAAAATTCCGATCTCTCATGCTGTCATCATACCGATCAAGAAGCCCGTTCCCATACACATACCCATCACCAAGCAGGTGCAGGTCGCCGTGGAGAAGGAGCTCAAGGTGCCGGTGGAGCGGCTGGTGCCAGTGCCCGTGGAGAAGCACATACCCGTGCCCGTCGAGAAGCGTGTGCCCTACACGGTCATCAAGTATTTGCCCATCAAGGTGCCCAAGCCCTTTCCGGTCAAGGTGCCCGTGTTCAAGACGGTGCTGCATAAGGTCAAGAGCTGGTGGTAATACCCGTTTCCCGTTACTCCAAGCACACAATTATATAATAATTGCGTTACTCATACGACCCGTGCTGCGAGGCAAACACTGTCATGTCATGGCATGGCATGGCATACGGAATGTGTTCGTGTTTCGCTTATCGCTGAGTCGAAATTAATTTTGTTAAGCCAAAATCCTGTGTTGTATACCAATTTTGTGACTCATTTAACATTACAACCATTTGCATTCGTCTGAATACAGAAAAAAGTAAAAACTGAAAAAACCGCATTAACTCATTTTCATCCGAGGTTTTTTAAGCTGCAATTTAATGCTGCATTTATTATGTATGCGAACACAGGCAGACTCTCTCTCGCTCTCTCTGTATATATTTATTTAAGTTTTATTTACTTAAATGAAATTGTGTTAAATGAAATGAAATTCATGAAGACGACGCCGTTGCTGTTGTTGTTTTGTGAAAACTGGTAAATGCTATTTCCAGACCATTAGATTCGCATCTTGGCTCTGGCAGCGGGGCATCCTTATGCCTATGGCGCAATTCAAGTAATTTAAGCTAGCAAAAGCTAACGGCACGCAAACTCTAATTAAATTAAGAGCAGCACACCTTTTGTTTGCCGTTGCTACGGCTAGGAATGCACAGAATTTTCTTCTCCAGGCTTATCTCTTTTGCCCTCTCTCAGTCTCTGCAGCTGCTGCTGCTGCCTTGACCTGCTGTCAGTTTGTGCTTTTGCTTTAGCCAAGTGACAGTTGCTTGGACTTTGCCAGCTATATATATATAGACACATCTAGGTATATAGCTATGTATATAGTTTTATCAACTGCAAGTTCTGTTTGCCTTGGCTTATTTAAAAGGCACATTAACTGTCATTAAATTATTCTTATTTATTCACATTCTTATTTATTCACAAGCACACAAACAGACAGACAGACCCACACATACACAGACATACACATATATCATTCATCATGCTGTTGTCTTCATCTTCCCACATTCGTGACAATATAAAACTCAATTGCTAGCATGCACTGCGCGTCTTTTGCCGCCATTTTGTACAGCTCGCACGCACACTTAGGCATTTGCATGGCTTGTTCTGCGTACTCGCTTTGTTGCAATTTCTGTGTGTGCATGTGTGTGTGTGTGTGGTGTGTGGTCGTCGTTTGCCTTTGCCAGCCGCTTGTCAGTCATGTGTCTGTCTGTCGTGCTTACTCTCACCCATACTCCCGCTCGCCCGCTCTCGCTCTCTCTTCTTCATTCTCTGCGCTGCTTCTCTGCTTGCTTGCTCCATTTACTGTATTTTTGATGTCTAAATTGCATTTTATTATGTCGCCAGCAACAACAAAAGCAAGCATAGCAAAATACAAAAAAAACACGCTTCCCTTCTCGCTCACACCATATGCTGTGAATGTATGCAAACACGGCTATCTCTCTCCCACCATATGCTCTCCATGCATGCAGCAAAAACCCACCCCCGTTTCCCATATCATTGTCGCCTCCTCGCATGTCGCTGTCGGCGCTGCTGTTGCTGCTGCTGCTGCTGCTGCCAATGTCGCTCTTGTTGTTGCGGTTGTAAATTTTATTTATCATTTAGCATTTTTTACGCTCTTTATGCTGGGCGGCTTCAGCCAGCGCGACACACTTTAACTGACTTTTGAAGCACTTTATTTTGCATACAAAGTATTTACACCGCCCCGCCCACCCGCCAGCTCTGTGTGACTGTGTGTGCTGTCTACACTTAATATCTAGCTGATAACTCTTGGCTGCGCGCTTCCGCTTTGCTCCGCTGTGAATAGAAATGACTCCACCTTAATGCATTCACACAGCGGCCCATTGAAGCCAACGCATCAAATATTTAATATTAAGATTTATATTTCAATTATTTTAAAGCGGAATTCATGGCTCCGCCGCGCCATAGTTCACTCTCCCATTTATAATTTCGTTAGTTGCAACTGATGAGCGGCGCAACCGCATTCTAATGATACTTACTTCTACCTGCCTTGCCTCATTTGCAGTTAACTTTGTGCTCGCTCAGCTAAGTGAGTTGAGCGTATTGGCTTTTAGGCTTATCTATTGAAACGAGAAACTTGAGAGCTTCTATATATAGTTGATCTTCTGTATTCTACTTTGTTGATGTGCCAATTTTTAGGATAGTTTGAGTCACTCTAGGCCTTTAGTATATTATTAGACCCATTTCAGCTCTTATTTTCCACAGCTTAAGAGGTAATCCACACTTGAATCGATTAAATGTATCGAATTTTTTTAACTTGAAGAGTATTATGCAGTTGGTTATGCCCGTGGGCATTCTCGCTTGCCTCGCGCTACCTTAATATGAATTGATGTACAAGTCTTTATGGACAGTTGCAACATCTAGTTGGCCTCGTAGTATGCATAATTTAGTAGGCCTCAGGTGGAAATTTGTAACTAAAACAGATTAGAATTATACTCTATTTATTTGGCGTGCATGTCGAAGAGGACTACATTGCAATCCGGGCCGCAAGCAAACACAATTCAGGTTTTGTTAACTTTGTTTACTTTGAAAATTAAACCAGAAACTTTATAATAATAATAATAATAAGTTGATATCCATAAACACATTAATACGTTGCTATGAGCCACAAAATTTTAATTCGTTTTTGCATAAGCACAAAGGAGAGAGCGCGCCAGAGAGCGAGAGGGAGAGAGAGAGATATGAAAATAAAATTTATTTCAATTCAAAGTTGACCGAACACAACGAAATTTTCACATTCTAAATACAATTATAAAGCACATTCAGTGGGAAACAAAACAGTTGCTTTTAATAATGTCTGTTCGTGTACAGCGTGTGTGTGTGTGTGTGCGTGGGTGTGTGTGTGTGCTATTTGCAGCCACTATGTTTTGTGCTTTTATTAAAAAACTTTTGCGTAATGAAAGTTGTACGCTCGCTTTCCAAATTCTAGATGCCAGCCGAGTTATTTTATGTGGAAATATTTTAAGCGCAACTTTTCAAAATTTGATTTTTTGCATAATGAATATGAGTGAAGCACGCACAACACTCTAATGAAACACACACCCACACCCACACCCACACCCACACACACCCGCACTTATTCAAACAACCACGCATTCAGTTTTTGTTAATATTCCACTCTTGAATTCATATCAAATTGGTGTTTATTCAATTTAATTTGCATTTTATTGATTGTGGAACTCGAATGGCTATTAGAACCTACTCTGCGCCTAGCCAAGTGTGTGAATGTACATTGAGCCCACGCCAAGTGGGCTCTATAGTGCAAGTGGCGTGACTGGCAGATACCCAGCAGTCGAAGTATAAGAGATATGTACTCCCACTTTAAGAAATAGCTTGATTGAACTCGGGTTCTAGACGTACTATTATCATGAAATATTCAGAGCATTCCTATAAGACTCATATATGTGTGTGTACCAAAGCTCAAGACTCTACTATTTGAAATAAGCTTTATATATTTATTTTATAGAATGTGTATTGGATATTTAAAAAAGGAAATATATATAATATTTTTATATACTAAGAGAATCTACATATAAAATTTGGCACTTCCAAATATTATAGTTCTCGAGTTATGCTGTAAAAAAAAAGTCAAAATAGCGATATTTATCATTATTATGAAAATTAGTTGAGAAAGTGAACATAAAGGAAAGGTTTTCGCTGCATATGGTATACAAGCTTAAGTATTCCAAAGTTGAACTCTGTAGCTTTTGTAGCTTACGAGTTCAGTGAGTTGATATGAACGGACGGACGGTTGAATGCAGCTGGCAGCATGGGCTCAGTTCGTATTCCACTCAAGAACGTATACGTTCTCTGTGGCATCTCTCACAACTCATACATACATACACTCTACCACACACATCATACCCTCTTCGCCCCTTTTCAGTGGGTGCCACCCTAAGAGATGGTGGCTCAAGCTGCTTATATCTTGATGTGCGCACAATTTAGGGACGTCTCTTGTGTGGTTGATCGCTGCATCGCTTGCGCGATGTGATAGGATTTCTTTTTGGGGCTTTCGGTTATCTTAACTGCGGCACAGATGTACGGGCACGTGCTGAGCCAACCTCAAGCCGCCTCGTGCCGACGTGCAGACAGAGCCCCTACCCCTCCGCCCGCTCTGCTCGTGGCTAGGAGTTACTTATTTAAGTGGAGTACATATGTGCGGATTACATCTGCCGTTGGATAAAATGATTTATGTATTGCCCGCATACCTGACTAACTCCAAAGCCCATTCCCGCATACAAATGGCCCAAATAAGTTACCAATTACCAGTTGGCTGTCGCGTAAATTTTCATTTGTGTGCGCAATAGAAAAGGAATATAAATGGTAAAAGGTAATAGCAGAGACTTTCTATAGTACTTTGGGAATGGATAGATTGGCATATTTTGGAGGCGTGGCAGCACTGATAATGTAGATATATATGTATATATATTTATTTGATATATTCTCCTATAACTCCAGATCTACACGACGAGCAAGCTTGATCCAACTTTATACATCTGTCCTTCCGTCATTCTCTTCATCTTCTCAGTGATCTCACTGATCTCTTCTAGCTAGCGACTAGGAACTTAAGTTACTTACCTATATATGTTAGTTTGTTCGAATTTTTCTCATTTTCTCGATATCAATTACATTATATCGATACAAATCGATAGGCCTACACAGAACTGTAAGGCTTTTAAGGCTGGAGGCACCAAGTTTGGTATGTGGATTCCGTAGAGATAATATTTTCTAGTTACAAATTGCTTTTAAATAGTGGAGTCTGGAACTTTGATAGACAGGTTATCAAATTTTTATAAAAAGGAATTAAGTTATTCAACGAAACTGGACGAAGGCTCACCAAATCGTATTCAATTCACAATTTCATTGATAGCATTCATGGAAGGCACTTGGCCTATGGCGCAAAGAAGTTTTCGGATTTTGTTGGCATATGTGGCGTATGCGTGATAAATGAACCAACAATTGAGTTTTATCAATTTAATCAACTAACTTGAGCTTGTTATCGATTTTAATCAATTTCAAGTGTCATAGTTGGAAGGAAGTTATCGATGATATGGCAGAAGCTTGATATGCTCTAGTTGTTGAAGGACTGAGAC